CAGCATTGGGCGGTTTAGTGTATTGCTTTTAGCTGCAGGCCTACTGCAATGTTGCAAATATGCAGTCTTGGCCAGCTAAGCCATACTTATTAAACAGAAGCAAAAGGAGAGAGATAGGAAAAAGAAATGAGGTGGGGAAGGAAAAGAACGCGGGGGGGTGGGGGCGCGGAGGGAGAGCTGACAAAGCCTGGCATCCCAGAGGGCGTTTGGGATTCAGCTGGAGCCAGTGGAGGTGATGATGGCCAGAGAGAGGGACTCAGATGACCAATCTGGTCTGGACATCTCAGAATCAGGAAGAAGTCGTCTTAAGGTTGCAAGAGAACCTGAGTGAAACTCACTCCAGGAGCCACTTTTTCTCCATGTCTTTCTTTAAGGACCCCAAAAGGGAGCAAAGGGTGGAATTATTTTATCCACCAATTAGGCCTAATTTCCAACAGACATAACCTATAACAAATGTTGAGGGGGTATGACATCATTTTTATGAACTTTCACTCAAACTCACAATTTGGGTAAATGGGTAGGCCCAGTTATCACAACAGAAGCCAGCGATGCACACAGGTGTTCTTTGTATCCAGCATTCTGCAACTTGGAATCTAGAAGCCTCCTTTTCCCTCCCACCATCACTTAGTTCTTCTCTAACGCCAGCTACACACATACTGAGGTGAAAACGTGGACCTTTCTTTCTGACCACCTGTGGTTGTCAAATATCCCATGGCACTTTTGATAGGAGTACAGGTATCCTAACTAAAATTGCAACTGGGATAATTCTGCTAAGCAGTTTCATTAGAATATCGCATCCTCCACTTCCTGTCCAGAAGTGTTGTGTGGTTTTTGCTGTGCCCTGTTAAACAACTGCCTTATTCAACCCCAGAGGGGACTGCACTTCAATGGTGGGTTGATGTGATGCTTGTGTACACGCAGTTTGTAAAGTGATTTTGGAATCAGAAGCATAAGGTGTGATTTATTTCCTTGATTTTTTAAAAAATAAGTAATTGAACAAATTGTTTCATCACTGGTTTCCATTTCTCCGAGGCGAGTTTACTGATATGGGCCACTGGCACAATTTCACTAGTTTCTCTCTAAAGCAATCTGTAATTAAATCGTGAATCAGTTCTGGAATGGGTTCCTCTAAGCCCCAAAGTAGTTGTTTAATCATGCCTCTTGCTAGCAGTGGTTAAGTAGGTTCAGAACAGGATTTAACAACTCTATACATCACATACTCCTACCATATTTTAATCAGGCTGCCATCTACACATGCACAGCAAAATGTTTAAGTAATAACTCTGTCACGCACACACAGGGCCAGATTCACTTTTTGTGGGCCCGGCACCAAACATATTTGTGGGCCCCCTGCGGCACACACAAATCAAGTTAGTTTAAGGTGTGATTTTTGTACAGCAGGCCCCAGTGATCAGAACACAGGACTGGGCGTCAGGAGAGCTGGGTTCTATTCTTGGCTTCACCACTGACTCACTGAGTGAGGTTGCACAGGCCAGTTGACGATAATACGTATCCACCCCAGAGGAGTGTTGTTCTGTTTCATTAGCGTTTGTGAAGTCAGGTGCTTTGAGATCTCAGAATGGGAAGGGCAGAGCATTACACAGTGACTTAACACTCAACCTCAAAGCTAGCCACTCCTTCAGACACCTTTACGGTGCTGCTCAGTTTACAGAAGCTTGAATGTGCAGGCAGCATATTTTACACATATGTGTTCGTTGCACACATGCTTAGAGGCAGAGTTATGGCAGAATGTTGTGAGCGGCACCTCCAGTGAGGTGTATGGCCAGACAGGTTTACACACTTGTATGTTTGTGTTTTGTAACAGAATATCCCTCCCTCTACTGTTTAACTGGGTGTCTTCTGCTTTCTTTTTAATGTCTCTCCTTCCATCCCTCTCCATACATTATGTTCTCTTCCTCTCACAGATGTTCTCTCCATCACTACCCTCCCCCAATCTTTCCTTCCCTCACCTTCCCCTATTCCATCAATTGCTTTCCACCTCCCTGCAATTTCACCCTTCTCTACAGAAGACTTCAGTTCCTCCCTCAAGGTCTCCTACCTGTCTTCCTCTCCCACATACTCCCCTCCCACCCCACATCCCAACATGCATGCTCGACTCTCATTTTTCACTATTCACTTGCATTAGACATACCCTGAAGCACCCCACAGTCCCATATGCCTCTCCCCGCATCAGCGCCAGGTTTCCAAGTGCCTTGTGTGACCACATGGGTCAAGCTTCCCCTAAGACCAGCTCTGCCAGAACGCTTTGCTACAGCAAATCCTGCTGGGGGAGGTTAGGACTGGAGTATTTGGGGGTGGAGCATCCATTGGGTATTCATGTGGGAAGGACGTTTTGAGGAGAGGTGTCTAGTTACTGCAGCCCAGGAGCAGCCAGAAGTCATATCAGGTTACATATCCAATTAGTGTTCTGTTAAGGAGTAAACAGATCAGTCCCAGGGGTGAGGACATGTAATCACAATGAATACCATGGTATCAAACTTCATCTCCCTTCAGAGCCATATCACCTCTGTATCAGATAACCTGCAGCTCTGGCTTAGCACCTGGGTCCAGATCCTCAAAAATATTTAGGCACCTAACTTCCATTGATTGCACACATGATTTTAATGTGAGCTAGGCACCAAAATAGTTTTGAGGACCTGGGTCTTGGTTTCTTCCTGACCCCCTCCACCCCCACACTGCAATACTCTACTCTAGGAGAAGGAGCAAGACTTTTTTTTTCTACCCAACATAAAGGTAAGCACTGGAACAAACAGTCACATGATATTATTGAAGGAAATCGCTTAGATTCAAAAAGAGTTTCAGACACATGAATAAATTCAGCATCTGCAGCTGATGTAAAGTAAAATAGGCTGTCAATCCTCATGCTTCAGGGTATAAATGATTATTACCTGGGATCAGGAAGAAGTTTCTATTGATGACAGCATAGGGATTTTATATTCTCCTTTGAAACATACAGAAGCAGCTACTCTCAGAGACAGAGCACTGAAGTAGATTATCCCTTGACCAGATGCACTGTGTAGTGCAATACCATTTCATAATGGGTAGTTCATACAAATCTTACCATGCACAGCAGGGAAAACGATATAATGAGATTGCAAAAGAGGGGACTCACCCTGGTACCTCCTGGATTTCCTGCTCTAGCACCCTCGGCCAGCAGTTTGTTTTGGTCCTATGGGAGTCTCTCTTCTCACAACTTGTTCCTCCCACCCAGTCACTTGTAGTTCCACCCCCTTCTGGGGCAACAGAACATCCAACAACAAAAATCCAAAGTCCTTACATCTGGTTCTCAGCTCCAACTCTCGGCTGCATGGTCCTTCCACCCTTTCCTCAGGGTTTAAATCATCCTCAGCCCTGTATGTTGGGGGGCTTCAGGCCATCTCGCTGGTGGGGAAACACAAACGCACTCTCTACACTGGTTCCCAGTGCATGGGTCCTAGGATGGGCAGCCAAGGTCTACTCTATCAGACACTGCCTCTTTGGACGCCTTCCTACTACAGGCCTTTCTTCAGTCTTTTCCCCAGCTCCTTCCTGGACTCTTTGTAATAAGCAGCATCTCCCAAGGCTTCACACCAGATGTCTGGCTTTTTTCCTTGTGTCAGGGTCAGCCACAGGAGCGTGCTCTAATCCAACATCTTCCTCCCTAGGCTTCTTCCTTTCCCTGCAGGAGCCTTTCTGTTCCCCACAGGCCTCTCTGTTACCAAAAGAACAGCTACAGAGTTCATCACTCTCTTCCTATAGCCCTGGTCTGCTCCAGGCTTCCTCTCTTTATAGCTGCACCCAGCTTCAACCCAGCTGGGGTTCATCTTTAATTAGGCCTGGCCCACCCTCCATGTGCAACAGGTGGATTAATTGGCCCCCCCAAGCCCACCTCTGTTGGGTAGACACCCCATCACAGAGGTGCTAGAGTAGGGCATTGGTTCTAAGGGACTTGTTTAGAGATATGGGAGCTATATGGAGAGTTAGCAGCCTGGGATTTGGGAAAGAGGCACCTGGATCTTCAGATCACTTTAACAGCCTCTAGTGAATGTTTTTGGGGGGACAGTCTCCAAAGTTCTCACTAAACACTGTTATTCCTGCTTCAAAGTAATCCTGAACAGGACTTCTGAATTCACAGCTCCTGTGACTGTAGCTTGTGGTTCTGGCGCTACTAGATCCAATGAGATAGGCTGAAGAAATGTAAATAATTTGATCCCCTTCCAAGCAGATCCCAAGACTACCAAAAGATGCCTGTGAAAATCCCTAGCAGATCTAGACATCCATCTCCCACTCAGTCCCCTCAGCTAGTTCTGTGAAATCCTCAACAGATCTGGACTTCTCCCACTGGATTCAGTCATCCTGCTTTGACCATCCCATTCCCCCATATGCTGTGACACTATTGCTTGGATCTATGAACATGTCATTGTCCAGTAGTATCTCCAGCAGATCTTGTACAACCCGTTGTGAATCAAAACAACTCCTGATTGTTCCAGTTCACACCCGCCACTAGACGCTGAGTGAGCACACAGTGGATCTAATAATTTCCCCAAAACAGCCAGTTTCCACCGGATCCCATGATATTCCTGGTAGACGGAACCTTTTCCCAACAAAACAATGTCATCCCCCACTGGCTCCCATGTGGTGCCCTGTGGATCTACTCCCTTCCCTAGAGCATGTGTGATCCTGATGAGATATTTAATCTTCCCAAAAAATCTAGTGTCCCCACCCCCCATACTGTGTGAGATCCAGTGGCTCTAACAATTTCCCAGATCTACTCCCACTCCGCCTATAGTGGATCCTGAGTGGATCTAACCTTTCCCCAAGAGCCCCAGTGCCCCTCTACCTCCAGCTGCTGTGTGATCCCCAGTGGATCCAGTCCTCTCCCACTGGATGAACTCACCCGCCCCTGAACTTCCCCCTCTAGCCAGAGATGTGCCTGCACTGAGCTGCTCAGTTGGCTTGCATCCGCCGTGTCTCCTCCCTCGCAGGGCGAAGAAGGGAAGCCAGGGCGGCCCTTCCAGGAAGAAGACCGGGGGAAGAAGCAGAAGAGAGCCCCGGCTGCCCTCGGAGCGCTCCCCTCCTTCTTTCGCTCCCTCCCCGGGCTCTGGGTGGGAGTTACTCCGGATGGAGGCGCCCGTGTGAACAGGTAAGCGGAGCGGGCAGGGGAGGGAAGGAAGGGGGCGGCTAGCCGCAGGAGAGCTCTGAGTCCTGCACAGCCAGAGAGCGGAAGGGAGCCCGGCTCCCACGGCTGGGCGCTCCGCGAGGGGGTGTCTCACGGTTACCGTCCCGCTAACAAGAGGGCAGGGGCCCCAGCTGGGATCCCACTCCCCGGGGGGAGCCGGGCGGCTCAGACCCAGCGCTCTGCGGTGCCTCACTCGGGGGTGCCCGGCGCTGCGCTCAGTGACCCAGCCGGAGAGGGAAGGAGCAGGCGTCGGGGGCGATTTGCTGGGCAGCTGCCTCGCAGCGGTAGCCGGCAGTGCCACCCCCTGCTGCTGGGCCGGGGGGAGGGCAGGCTGGGCTCAGCCCAGGGCGCTGCTCTCCCGGGCATCCCCCCAGCAGGCTGAAGGAGGGAGCCCCGTCTGCCTGCTGGCTGGTGCCTTGGAACTGGGCCTGGCCGAGCCCAGGGCACTGCCCCCCAAGAGATGTGGGACAGTCAGCAGGGACTGCAGCCAGGGCTTTGGGCAGGGACTGCCTGGGTGGAGGTAAACAGCCTCCTGCCAGAGTTTGGACCCCTCTGTCCCAAAGCCCCTATGGACCCTTTGGGCAAAGCCCCAAACAGAGCTGCCACTGGGCTCCAAAGTCTCACCAGAAACTCTCCTCTACCAAACCAGACTGCCCTGATCCCCTCCCATGCCCCCGACTCAGCAAGGAAACCAGAAACACCCCTGGCACTAGAGATCTTGGGTAGAATTATCACAGGGTGCCAAATCTGGTCCTCCAGCCAGGTTTGGGTAATGCCCACAAAGTGAGGGCCTCATCCCTCCTGACCAAGTCGTGGATGGGGCACTCTTCCAACCATTGACCCAACATTAATGGCTGTGGAGAGAAGGCTGGATCCTTATGTGCTGACAGCCCAGCCTCCCAAGGGATAACTGAAGGCAAAAGCAATGGAACTAGCCATCTCAACTCTGGGTTTCGCCTTACACCAAATCTTTTCCTGCCTTGTCTCTCCTGGCCCACTAGCACAGAAAACAAGGGACTCAAACCTTCACCACCAACGCTGCTGTTTCCCCCCCGGACCCCTGTGTCCCAACGAGGTGGCAGCACTGTTCCACCATCTTAGCTGCCATAAACTGGTCATCAAAGGGCCACAGCTGAGCACCTTCAAAAAAAGACCTCCAGGTGTGTACATAGAGTTAACCCCATTTTACAGATGGGGAAACTGAGGCACAGAGCGGCCAACCAATGGGATCATAAGGTCAGCAAAGTGGCAGAGCTGGTTCTGGAACCCAGATCTCTTCATGTTCAGTCATGAGCACTAACTACTAGGGCCTTCTGTCTCCTACCTAAGAAAATCAAGTAATGATCGGCTTGATCCTGCTCCAGTTAATGCCAGTGGCAAAACTCTCGTTGACTTTAATGGGATCAGAATCAGGCCCTACAGAAAGAAATAATTTTGTCAAATAAGAATGGGCCAGAGTGGACAATATTCTAACCACAGGGGTAAAACGATGAAGCATTTTACATCATGTTACAGCATGTTACATCGTATTCTGTCTAGCTGGCCATACAGGCTGGAGTGACATGAGAAGCTTTGTCCCTATGTATTTGTCTTTGCACATCTGTTACTAACAAGTGCATTGTTTGTAGCAGTCACTTATTTGCCTCTCAGAGATACAGTACCTAGCACATGGAGGTATTTGTAAATTTCATTCTGAACCTATGTTGTTATGGATATGAGACCACAAAATTAGAAACAAAAAGTTTGCACAAGCTTTTTAGTCATCCTTAGAGCATGTGTTACGTAACAACACAAAAGAGTGTCTGAGAATGCAACATTCCCCCCAGGGGAAGAGGAGCTGGATTTCAGTGGCTACAGTTCCAGCCATTTTGGCTACAAAGAAAACAAGCTGTGGTCTACAGAGCCCCACTCCTTTGGGACTCTTGGCATTTGACCCTTCAATTGGCTGTCAGCTCACCTTCCAGTCTAGCTAAGAGTTCAGTTCGTTTCAGAAAAGGAACAGACAAGAGATTGGATGGCATGGGGAATTAGCAATGGGGAGAAAGGTTCAAATTCAGTAAGGATGAGCAATCCCTCAGTGACTGAGACCTAGTCTCCTCTGATGGCTGTTCAATAGCTTATGTGGAAGGGATTTGCTGGGTCTCAGTTCAAGCTCCGGTGGAGAGGTATCCAAAATACATTTTTAAAAATCACTAATATTGGTAACCTCGACTGGCCCAAGATTGACTCGGCCACGGAGACCAACTAGCCTCAGTAGTGGTCCCAACATTGAACCATAACGGATAGGCAATGTGAAGGAACTGCTGCCTCTGGTGTAGATGCAGAAAGGCATCGTCAGTGTCCAGGACTGTTAATCCAGCATCTTCCAGAAGCACTACATTCACACACTAAGAAACACCTTTAACAAAGCATGAGACACACTGCTAAAACCAGATTCTGCTCTTACACAAGGCTAGTAATATTACAGGGGATAGCTGCCCTTTGTGCTTCAGAGGGGCTTAAGATGAACCCCAGCTGTGGTCAGGAGAGATTACTGCCACCTGCTGTAGCATTCCACAGGTGACCAGGTGAATTACAAAGGGTTTCTTGCACTTTTCTCTAACGAGACACAGAATACTGGACTAGATAGATTTCTAGTACAGCAATTCATGTGGTCCTAATGTGCTTGTATGCGCTGCTGTGATCACTTAATTACCATAGGGAGAGTTAATACAAGGCTTTGTACAGCTGCATTTCTTTTGTTGTTCCACTTGGCAGAGCCAGGTAAATTGGCACCAGAATGAGCTTGTTTCCATTTACCTTTGTTCAGGCAGAAAGCAGCTGGCATGACACTGAGATTGCTGGCATTCCTTGCATTAGTCAGTCTGTTACAAGCAGGATGTCTCGGCATTTATTTCAGGGTGAGGCACATGGGCAGACAAACTAGTGAATCAGATTGCTGAGGAGGGAAACTTGGCCTGTAATGATGTACAGTAGGTGGAGAAGGTGGTTGAAAGCTACAGCAGGTGTGCATTGTAATGAGCGATTAATTAGTAGGCCGTGAATGAGCATAAATAGGAAATCTGGTGGCACTGGGGGTAGCAGGGATCATTAGCTGGACAAACAGTCTGAGCTGTGCAATCAGGAACAAAGACACGTTGAACTGCAACGTTCTGGGTTGCTGTCTTTGTTTGGGTCTGTGACTACTGGGGACAGTCTTTAGGCCATGAGCCAGTTAATACAGAGTGATTAGACCATGAGCCAGTTAATACAGAGTGATTTGATCACACCAGAGGGAAAGCCCATGAACTAGTCAGTAGCATTATCTGTGCCCGGCCACAGTGTACAAAGAATTAAACTGTACCAATCATCCCCATGTTCGGTTGTATGTTATGTCTCCACACCAAAGCCTTCATCTGCTTGTCTCTCTTTTAGACTGTCTGGGCTCCAGGGCAAGGACTATCTGTTTGTGAACACACTGCCCAGCACAACAGGGCCTCAGATTCAAGCAGGGCTTTTAGTTGCTACTGTAATATAAATGTTTAATAATAGAGAGTGAACTTGCCCATCCAGTATATACACACACATTAATCATATTAATTTATAGAATGGCTATTCTGGTACCAGCCTGGTGTTTAATACAGACTCAGTTATCTAAAGTAAGGGGGGGGGGGACTTGAAATGCTGAGCTAGTTTAGATTCTTCCATGAATTGATTTAAAAAAAAACTTTTTTTAACATAAAACTGTCCCTGAGGAGTAGCATTAAAGGGTGGAGCTGCTGACTTTAGAAACGGCAGCAATCACAAGGTTATTTTACAGAAATACAAATAAATCCTCAACCAACAGCTAAACCAGATCACTATTTATTTCAAGAAGGCAGTATGGCCCAGGGGCTAGAACCTCAGGCTGGGCGTCAGGAGACCTACATTACATTCCTGGTTTTGCCAAGGTCTCCCTGTGGGACCCTGGGTAAAGTCACACACATTCCCTCTCTTTGTCTCAGTTTCCCCATCTGTGACATGGGGATAGCGATACTGACCAGCCTTTGAACAGTGCTTTGAGATCCACAGGTGAAAAGCCCTGTAGCAGTGTTCAGCATTGCACTGTGCCCTGAAGGTCGCTGCACATGGAGCCTGGCAGGCAGCCAAAGAGCACACTTTCTGCAGGGGAGGAGTGGCTCTCAGCTGAATGTTTCATACTGCAGGACCCAGAGAGATCAACCCTGGGAACCGCCACCAAGAGTCTCTCACAGCCGAGACAGGGTGGAGCGAGAGGCGTCTCCGAGATTACCAAATCCCAAGCTGTTAAAGACTTTAACGATCATGATTTGCAGCTTGAATTGTACCTAGGAACAGGCAGGAGCTGCACAGAAGTGCCCAGCGCTGCTTGTCCTACTCAGCAGTGCTATATATAATTTTTATTACTGTTGGTATTTGCATGAGCTTCCTTCCCTCCTTAGCATGAGGATTTTATGACCTTAGCTACCCTCAGCAAGGGGAGTCCATGTGCTGAAAGCAGGTGAAAGGGAAAACAAGCTCTGGGAGGGAGCTGGGTAAGACCAATTCATACCTCAAAGGGGGCGTGTTCAGGACTGTACCTGGACATGTTCAGCCTCTTGTGAAATAAAAGGGGAAGGAGGCTCGTTTCCCAGGCACTTTGGTGCCAGGATCCTGTGGTGAAAGACGGGAAGGTGTTCTGAGCAGTGTAATGCAAGGCTTAGCAGGCATAGGTTCTCCTGGCCAAAGAGAGCAGGTGTCTGTGCTGTGACCTTCCTTGCATTGCTCCAAGTGCTACCATATGATAGCTGAGCTGATTTTTCAAACAGGTTGGCTTGGAAGGAGGTAGAAGTGGAAATGTCCAGAGGAGGAGCAGCACATGGAATCTCCAACACTCAGGACCGGGGATGGGCCTGGATGGTCTTGTTGGCCACTGTGCTGCTTCAGGGGCTAACGCTGAGCTTCCCCTCTTGCACTGGGGTCTTCTTCACAGACCTGCAGCGTGAGTTCCAAGCCACCAACAGTGAGACGTCATGGTTCCCGTCCATCATGACAGCAGTGCTGCACGCAGGTGGTGAGTACGATGCCAAGTAGCTGCCTTCAGCTTCCTCTCCTGGCTAAGCCAGTGCACAGGGTTCATTACTAATGGGCCTTTACAATGTCCCCAGAGAGCAGGTCTCCCTGCATGTGCAATGGGACAACTTTGCCCTCCACGTTTAAAAGGATGCTGAGATGCTTTTGCTAGACCCATATAGTCTAGATCCTCAAATACAAAACGACGGTGTTAAAAGCAACTCTTTGGGCTGTGACGCAAAACCCAGGCAGCAGCCAGTTAGATCAGTGAAAGAGTTTAATGGAGCTGGGCTGACTCAGAACATCACAGAACCAGAGAAGTTAGAGCTGGAGAAGACCATGTTCGACTCAGTTCATACTGGTTTATCTCTGAACTATGCAAGAGATATGAGCTACAGAGAATCGGCCAGTTTCATCCCTGCTCAGAAGGGAGGTATAAGGGGTGTTTGGTATCTTTTCTAAGTGAAGGCTGCTTTAGTTTCTGCCATGTACTTCCTAGGAGCCACACCAACAGAGGCTGGAGCAAGGTGCGCTTACTGGACATGATTTCCCAACCAGTGTTGCCCACTTTGGGGGTTCCCCTGCTGTCTGGGGGGCCTCCTAGTGGAGGGGAAGTTGTGACCATCTTGTGCCACCACAGGCTGGCAGACTTTCCACTGCTGGGGGCCCAGCAGCCTGGGATGGGTTAGTGGAAGCCGGCATAAACCAGGGATGACTTGAGCCATATAATGAGAATGTGAGCTCTGGCTGATACTTGGCACACCAGAGCCAATGCTCTGTTTCCTCTAGCTCACTGGTTTGGCTCCTTAGCCCCTAAATGCTCTTTGGGTTCAGCCTTTTGCTGTGCTGGAGCTGCTGCCTCAGTAGAGCTCCAGGGCTTGAAACCTCTGGGGACTCTGAGCTCTGCCCCTGTAGCAGGGGTGCAGATTCCACCGTGGCTCTGGCTGTGCATGTAACCAAATGCCTGAGCATTGTTGCTGGGAGTCTTTTTGGAAACAGAGAAGTGATGCTGTGCAACGGTCACCGGGCAGGCAGCTGTGCCACATATAGCCCCAGTCACAACCCTCGCTACTTACTTGTATAACTCCAGGCCTGAAAGCTGATCTTCTCAGGAACGCGATTTGTATTAAAATGCTCACTCCCAGGCTGTGCAAGGAGTACAGCCATCCGCACTTGATCCAGGGTCAGGGGGCCAGGGAGGGGGAGGAGCCGTGGGGAAAAAGAAAGCTACAAGATTAACAACAGTTAGCAGCACTTAACGTGATCAAAGGGCTATGTGGTTAGTAATTAATTAATCCTCACAGCCCACCAGGGAGGTGAGTATTAGGAGCCCCATTTTACTGATGGAGGAACTGAGATACCAAAAGTTGAGTGACTTGCCCAACATCATGTAGCGAGTCAGTAACAAAGCTGGGATTAGAAGTCACGTGCGGTTTACGGAGTGCAGGGCTAGGAGTTCTTTATTCAAGTGTAAGCTGAGGGCTAGGCTTGTTGGAGCTACATCTTATGGGGCCATAACAGTTCTCCCACCCTTTAACTCCCTCCCGAAGACTCACTTCTACCATGACATGGACAAGAAGGGACTCAACCAAGTGATTCTGTCTATCTGTACATACTTACCCTAGAACCCCTTCCCAACTGTGCTGCTCACATGCCCTCACATCTTATTGCCGTGACCTCTGCCCATCTTCCTTCATCCCCTGCCTATTGTTCAACTGCGTCTTCCTCCACCCCCGGCCTGTTGTTCTGTTGCCCTTGTTACGTCATATCTAGATACAACGGTAAGCTCCTTGGGGCAGGGACTTTGTCCTTTTATCTGTGCTGTGAGGTACTGAGCTGACCTGTGGCCTCTATAAA